GGAGCGGCCACTGCACTCCAGTCTGGGTGACAGAGTGAGATTCCAACTAAAAAAAAAAACACTCCTGTTTTCTATTATTTCAGTCCAGAGTACAATAAAAATAGGTATTACTGCAGTGGCCATGCAAGTTGTTACCCAGAACTGTGGACCTTTCCAGAGCTGCCTCTGATTCTTCTTTGACCTTCAGCACACTGGCTGCATTGGTGTCCACCTCACGTAGCCATAGCCCTCTTCCAATGGTTTCTGATAATCTAGTAGTACTTTAGCGAAAGAAAAGTCACAGTATTGGTTTTTGGCATAAAAAGAAGTGTTAAAAATTAAGAGAGGACAGCTGATAACCATAGATTGGCACTGAACCTTTTTACTGGTTTATGGAACACAAAGCTTTTATCCCATATATCACTTTAGCTACTATACTTGTGCCCTTATCTGCAAAATAAGATTTTATTTACCCTTTTGCTTAGTACTGACACATGATAATTATTTGTTGCTTGGAAGAGTGCCTCTTATGGAGGTGTTAAAAAACAGGTGCAAGGTATTTCTTTTTCAGCAATGCTTTTATTTCCCTAAGAGATATGCATATCTAACAGGAATGCTAAGTCTTTCAGGTGTGGAAGTAGGTTATCAAACCTACTTTCCTGTTTGCTTACCATTGTAGGCTGTTGTGTCCTGCATAGTTGGAAGGACTCCCTTCTACTGGACCTTCTCTGCTCTTCACCAGCTGGTGTTCTCTTGCTCTCAGGGGCCGTGGGGAGCCAGAAGGCTCAGGAAGTAAAGGGAAAGGATTTCTACTTCTTTTCTTCTTTACAGTTGTCATGTGCCTCTGAGTGTCCAGCCCATGTACAAAGGGGAAATGAAATCTATTTAAATGGAATTCAAGTTGGCTGTAAGCCATACATCCAAGAAACAGTTTTCCTGAAGGAGTTCAGAGACATCTAAAAACACCATAAGAGACTTGACAGTGAAAAATGATTATAATACTTTACTCTGAAATAGCACTTGCATCTGAATCACAAAACTCATGAGGTTTTATAAATACTAAATATCTCAAGTCATTAATCAAGCTAAACTTATGGGGCCTTCTGTGTCTCATGTCCCACATGCAACATGATACAGACTGAATGGCAGTTTTCAGAGACGTCTTGGTTTGGCTTGAGTGGCAAATTGGAATAGCTACTTGTCATATTTTCGTTTTTTTTCCATTCAAGATGGAAGAGGAGCACCTCTATGCCTTGAGGTGGAAAGAACTGGAAATGCACAGCCTTGCTTTGCAAAACACCCTCCACGAGCGAACCTGGAGTGATGAGAAGAATCTGATGCAGCAGGAGCTCCGGTCCTTGAAGCAGAACATTTTCCTCTTCTACGTTAAACTCAGGTGGCTGCTGAAACACTGGCGGCAAGGGAAACAGATGGAGGAGGAAGGAGAGGATTTTGCCGAGGTAACTCTACCTGTAGAGTTCATTTCCTTTATATCTGTTTTGTTCTTGACCCCCAGACACTGTTGTCCCCAACCCACCCTACACACAGTCATGTCCTATTGTTTTTAGTTATTCTGTTAATTTCAGTCCAAGTGCTGGAAATGCAGTGGTTTGTCCGGTTATATGTGAAAACAAGAATTATGTGCAGTACTTTGACCCAGGTTTAAGAGTATCCTGGTCTATAACTCCATTCTGCAGCAAAGTTTCTGCTGCCATCTTCTTTGCTAGTGTTTTTTTGTTTGTTTGTTTTTAATCAAGGCAGTGGACTTTTATTGGAGTGAGCAACATGCTTTTTATTTGTATTTTAAAGATGTGGGGTACAAGCTGCTGATTTATTAATTCATTAAAGTTATCACCCTGACGTCCTTTGCCATCTCCAAACTTGCTTGTTTGTAAAAGTTGGTTCTAAAACTTTTCGCTCTGCTTTCCATTCAGTTTTTGTTTCTAGATGTCAGAGCTCCTTCTGTCCACACCGTTTTAGATGGGCTTCAGATGGGTCACCTTGCAGTCTCTGAAGTTTTCATATGTGCTTCCTCTTATGTCTCAATACCAAATGTATAACAGAAACAGAACCCAATTATTTGCCTTCTACTCAAGTCAGAGTGACCTCTCACTCTGCAGGCTCCTTTCTGGCCTTGCTTCCTGACTTGGAGGGCTGGAGCTACTGGTGTTCTGTGTGATCTTTACATCCACACCCCTGACTACTTGGTCAGCTGCTTCAAGACATGGTGAATAAGTTGGTTTCTTTTTAGTCCTCAAAGAGCTTTTGTTTGCTTTTCCCTCTAGGGAACAGTGTATATACTTTTAAGCTTTTATTCCAGGAATGGGAAGATACAATGATTCTCTTTCCTCAGGGTGAAGAAAGTCTTCAAAATTTAATTCAACCAGCTTGCAAGTATTCATGACATAGGAAAAAAAACTATTGTTAAGCAGAATTAAAAAATAGTTGTAAAGTTTCCTGTTGATCAGTACTCTGGAGTTCCTTCTCCCTAATTTATAAAACCATAGCTAGAAAGAAGCAATACTAATTTATAAATAGTAAAATTCCTCATTAATTGTTTGTAATAAATTAAGCACCCACCCTGTGCTGTTTAAATGGAGCAAGTGCCAGTGAGTGAAATGGTCAAAATGAGCATTTAGAGAATAGGATTGAGAAGTGTAGGACTTGATAATCCATAATTATCCTAAAACAGTAAAAGCTAGGCTGTATAGCAAAAGGCTTCGGGGGAAGCTGTGATCCTCCTCTCCTGCTGTTTCAGGGTGAGCATCCAGAACCCCTCCCTGGGCTTGGTGAGCTCAGAGTCCAGGCGTGTCAGCAGACAGATGGCCCAGCCCGAGATGACAGCGATCGAGGCTTTCTTTTGGGGGAGCATTCCCCACACCCCCCACTGCAGATTGGAGATCATGGCTCACGGCTGCAGACTGCAGACAGGGGACAGCTCCACAGGCAGGTGGGTGCCCAGATCTATGCCTGTTATTCTACCCACAACTGGGAGAGGGGACTCCTAATCCACCTGTATATCACCTTACTTCAAGTGCTGGTGTTCCAGGTAGCAGAAAACTCCTCTGCCTGACTGTAGCCTCCTGCTACAGCATTTGTGATGCTGAATTTTTACTAAAATCACATCATTAAGCCTTTCAATTTAACGTCAACCCCTTAATTCATTTGATTTACCTATATAAATGAAGACCATAGTAAGAGCAGATCAACTGAGTGTCCCCTCTTGGGGCCATCATTGATTTAGCACCATAATATATAAGGAGAAAAGCACAAGGTTTTGTTTTGTTTTTTTAAATCCCCCAACACGAATACAATATTTCAGGTTCTCTTTGGCCCCCACCTGAAATATAATGCCTCAAATAAAAGTATTTGATGGACACTGAAAAAAATTAAAGCATGTATATAGAGGGGTAGGATTTCATAACAGATACCACAGAAATAGACTCTGCTAAATAAACCAAAAGATACTACTGATAACATCCAAATTGTTTGTGTTTTTATATAAAATGGCAGCTATGGGGATTTGGAGAATTGGGCTCTTGAGAAGGATTCTATATCAAAGCTTTCCGATTCCTGACTCCTGAGTCCTTCAGACCCCACTTTGCTACTCAGAGGACTTCTGAAGCAAAACCTGATGCCTCCCTCCTGGGAGGCCTGTGTTCTGGGCGGCTGAGGACGCAGGGCCAGGTGGACACTGGGTGAGACAGTCATCTAGGCGCGGTCCTGGTCTGTTGGCCACAGACATTGTGCGGCACTCCCTCTGACATTGTGGGGCACTCCCTCTGCACTAGACTCATCCCTCATCCAGGCTCCCTTAGCCCAGAGCCACATCAAGTAGGAGAGGGCTGTCATCTGAACGCTGGCTCAGATCCAGATGAGGGTAAGCAGCGAGGTTCTGAGTGCAGGCTAAGAGGGAATTTGGGTTTCCTATTGCTCTCTCTACACATCAGATTTTCACACCTAAACGCTGTTTTCTATGTCTACCCATCCACCTTTCATTTTCCCTCAATAATACGACTCTAGAAAGGGATTATACTTTCAAAGGAATTTTTACTTGCAGTCATTAGGAAGTACGTCATCATGCCAGTGCCCCTGGGGAGAATTTAGGTCATAGAATGAGTTTTCCAGCAATGATCTGGTTAGAAACTAAAATGTTACTTTGCAAACAATGCTTTAAAATATACTCATTTTATTATTTTTATAAGAATGGTATCAATCAATCCTATTAGGCATCCATATTTAACTCAAACAGTATTCTCTGATTGCCACTTTGCCACAAACTTGATGCATCTAAGAAAATGTGTTGGATGTTTCCCACGTTGTGCATCCAAATGCCTTGGACGAGGGAAAAAATATAACACATCTGGTTTTCTAAACAACAGTCGTGGAAAATGTTACTCTTGGGGTGGAAAATAATGTAAAGTCACTCAGCTGGAACCTCACATACAACATATTTTAATGTCATCTCCTTTATCCTCCTGCTCCTTCCAACACTAATTTTTAGTGATTACCCATTAAAGTAGAGACAGACACATGAGTTTTCACTACATGCACCGTGCGGTAGAAGCACAAGGATGAGCAGAAAGGGTGGAGTCCAGACAGTCAGAACCAAGTCTGTCAAGCAGACCCATGTGTCCACAGAAGTGAAAGCAACTGTGTGCACAGTGCTGTCTGTCTGAGGACAGAAGATTGATGAGCTCTACTGTAAGCGACAGCTGGTTCTCTGGGAGGGAACATTCCCGGTTAGAGGACTGGCCTCTCCGTTAGTGACATGGGTATTAGCTAGGCAGCTGGGATGCTAGAGCCAGGGCACGTGTTCTCAGAGCTGCTGTAGAGAGCCAGGCCATTTCAGAAACGCAGCCATCTCACAAGGTGATTAGCGGCATGGGAAATGTGGCCATACTGCTTTCCCAAGGACAAATTCTCAAGTCACAAAATTTCTCAGGCCTTGCTTTTTGGTTTTTGTCATACTGGACATTCTCACAGTTGAGCACGGTAGATGGCAACATTTATCATATCCAAAGAGGTAAAAAAAAACAACAAAATGACAGCTACTGACCAACCTTGGGAATAGTTCATAAAAACTCATCAAGCTGGCAAATGTTTGGCTCTGCATATGTTCCTTGTTTTCCTGTTCTTGAGTTGCATGATCTCATGGCAGTGACCTCGCTGCTCTTGAGCACAGTGAGTGCTTTCAGTTTACCTAGCCGTCTGGAAGCACAGAGGCCACGCACACGCAAGAGTGAGGTACACAGTTCTCCCTGATCTCCAAGACACTTGCCGCTACGTTAAGCATTTGGGGACAGCATTACTAAGCCTGTTTATGCATTTCATACTGCTTAGTAATTCCTGAAGTCAAGTATTTTAACACAAGATGATTAAAGGTACAGGAATTATTATGTTGTGGTGCCAACAGCTAGTCTTCCCAGCATTGGATTAATGAATTAAAAGAAGTTATTTTTTCATTCAGGGATGTGACATAATTCTGTTTATTAAAACAATTAAGTGTAAATGTGAAGGACTTAATATAAAATTCATAGCAAGAGCTAAAGGTATTATATTTTGTATCCGTCCATCTTTAAGTCTTCACCTGTTGTGGTCACTGAAGAGTCTCACCAAGGCCTGCCACAGGACTGAGTGGAAGCAACTACCCTGGAACTTTGTTCCTTGTGCAGGGTTCATCTGCAGCGTTAGGGCCTTCCTGCGCTGCTCTGTCACTCCAGACAGGGAGCCCTTGGCTCCCTGGACTTGCTGAACTTTGGCTCACCCAGGTACAGGCAATCTTAGCTTTCTGGCTATTTTCTGCTTTGCCCAAGATGCAGAAACTTCCAGAAGGAGCATCTTTGCCAGAGGAGGCCTGTACATCAGAACTGTAAAATACTTGACATTTTTTTTAAATTAAAAAAAATTATTTTCTTGAGACTAGATAGCTTCACATTTCAATTTTCTATGTTGTATCATACTTTATTTTTAGACTCTTCAACTGTATAGCCTCACCTATGAGACATGGTACTCAATATGAAAGGAACCAGACCAGAGTTTATGATTGTGAAACATTTTTGCTGGTATTTGTTGTGGTGGCTGTTTCTATTACTCTGAAAATAGCACGTGCATGAGTTAAAAATTCATGTGGATGGAGGGGTTCCTGGTGAAAGGACTCTCTATGCATCATCCTTCTTAACTCCCAGAATTAACCATGATTAGCAGTTACCACATACCTTCATAACAAAGCTCAAAAATTCAGTAATAAGTGACTTCTTCCCAAATGGCCACCTGATTTTCATCAGGCCTGGGTTCTTAAGCCATTGGGCTGATAACTTTGTACTTCATTCTTGGGAAGTTCTGTGACAGTTATGGAAACTACAGCACAGAGCCTTTCTGGACAAGATCACCAGGCATACTCTTGGCCCAGGAGCAGAGGACTTCTGTGTGTAAATGAGTCTAATTTCCATCATAGTGTATACTTTCAGGGCCAGTCTTCAATGGCCCGTTCTTTTTTATCTGTAGGGAGGGATAACAGTTTTAGAAAAGAATCTTAAAATTTATCTGAATGTAACAATGAAGGTAAGAATGACAGATGGCTTCTTTATTAATATGTTGCTGGATGTCCTCATGTATCATTTCTGGCTAATCTCACAGTAAGGGATTTGTCTCAGGACTCCCACTGGCAGAGGACTCACTAGTATTGAATGTTGCCTGAGGTCCCCTACTAATATGTCTGAAATAGGAACTATACTGTATGTACATGCATGTGTTGGGGGTCAGGGCAGCTACTACAGCATTCTGGAGTTCCCTACCTACGTCAAGTAACGTAGATAAATAGGAGTAGAGGCCATCACCTCTATTTTGTGATTGGCTTTTTGTGGATCAGCTCAGAGCAGGTCAATATATCCGTTCCAACTTTGGATTCAACCTGTCTTCAAAGTTAGTGGCTCTGACACAAGCAAAGTTGATGGTGGCTTAACTCTTTCATGGAACTATGATTTCACCTGATGCACATGACTTAGAAATCTTCTTAGGCGAGAACGATTTTGAAAAATAGCCAAGAACGATATTGAAAAATAGCCGGCTTTGTGTCACAAATATCTTTGTGTCACAAATATTACCTTATCCATAAACTTCCTTTTTACTTTGTATTAATAGTACTTATTGTAGACTTATATAGCAGTCTGATGAGCTGAAGGCCAATTTTGAACCTATTATAGAGTTTGACCCTTTATAGCACAGTCAAGCTCCTGATCCCTGTTTGATCAAGAGAGATGAGCTAGGAAAGGCTGCAATGGCCCTAGACTAAGGAGAAAAAAATAGAGCCATTTTATCCTTTTTTTTTTTTTTTTTTGGCTAGAAAACCAACCAGCTGATCTCTCAAGAGATGGAAAAGTTGGGTTTTTGCGTTGAAACTGACCTATACTTAACAAATGCACAAGCTAAAAGGTTGCATAGGTAGGCCCCTGGCAAGAAAGGTTCAGAAAGTTCTATATCCAAGCACACTTGCTACGTAAAGACCTCTAAATGAACTAGAGTCTTAATTTAATTCTTGACTCAAACTTTGAGTTATCTTTTTACCCAACGCATAGCCCAGCAAGGGATACCACCAAGAGAAAAAGCAACAGAAGTTAACTATAATTATTTCCCTCAAAACAGGAGATGAAATTAGTTTCACGGAGATTAGATGTCTTCCCTAAGACAAAGTTGTTGTTTGTTTGTTGTTGTTGTTTTTAAAGAGCCTCAGTAGGGTATGATGTTAGAAGTCAAATATTCCTGGCTTGGTTTGTCTGGCCTCAGAGGGGGATGACCTAGACTGCAGCCCAGGCTCTCACTTCCTTAACAGTGGGACACCTCAGCACCCTCAGCCTCTCCAAGCTGTGGTTAGTTCCTCCTCTGTAAAATGAGGAACATAATATACGCACCCAAGATTGATGTGAAATATAAATAAGGTCATACAGGCAAGTAACTTAGTACCCCTGGCCATAGGAAACAATATTAGTGATTGTTGTTACTATTTTTTTTTTTTGTATATGTGTAAAAGTCATTTAGGAGAACCATGCCCATCTATGGCTTATTCTGGGGTCTTCAGAAATGTTAATACAGACATTCATTCTTAGGTTGTGCACTACTGGCAGCAACTGGCCTGGCTTCCTGCCATGCCACATTTTCTGCTCCTCGGTGATTATAATATCAGATACCAATAACATTGACTCTGGGCTCTCTTGCTCCCTTTAGCCACCATCCTTCACCTCACAATAATTCTGGAACTCATTCCATTATGATTAATATTATCCTGGTTTAATAAAACACTATTTTGATTACTGTGACCCAAATGTGCTTAAAAACAATAAGGCTTAATTTCATTGAATCCGGGATCTGCTGATGCCAAAAAGTACTTGCTTCCAGGAAAGTAAAATTTCCAGTCTACAAAAGGACTATAAAGTTCTCATTCTAATCTTTGCAGTCATGTGATATATGGGCTAGGAACAATACAGGCTGATACCATATGCAACCCGCATAGCAATTGATTATAGCTAAGAACATGTTATATGGCTTTTTGCTGTCTCTTCAGTGAAAATTTGATGACTAATTCAAAGACCGGCTCAAAATTATTATCGTTATTTTATGCTTGAAATACTCTTGACTCAAAAAGTAATGATTTTTAATTTAAAATTCAAAGATGAAAATACCATAAATCTACCATAAAATATACATAATTTTTCAGTAAAAAATTCTATATGGAGATATGTATTTCTGAAAAAAATTGTTCAACACCTCTTCTCACTCAACTGCACTTATGTAATTTTTAGATACTTTTGATGTGAAGTTTTAAAACTTCACACATTTTGTGAACATTTCTTTGCATACAGTCATAATTTATTTATATTTTAGATGTCTGGAAAGAATGTATAAGATTTGTAGATAGTCCCTATCTGCTGAGTTTTTCAAATGTTAACTGACCTACACTTCTAATGCTCTTCGTCCCAGAGTTATTAAAAAAAAATTAGTGTTCCAGATGAGAAAAAAAAAGAAAGAGCAATAAATGCTTACAGGCCTTTCTTTTTCATCAAAAGTCTATCTAATATTATAACATCTTAAATAATGGAGACAACTATGGAAATTTCAGTAGTAAAACTGCTCATATTAGAAAATTTCTGTTTTCTAATCTAACTTTATTTAAATCCAAACATACATCCAAAGTATCTTAAATTCCTTTTATATATGTTTAGCCAATTTGGTGTATGTTTAGTGAATGAACTAGATGGTTTTAGAAGCATGACTGAGGAGTAGAGGCTAATGTGTGTGCAGAAGCCCAGTGGGGTCCCTGGTGTACCTGCTGAACCAGGCTGGGGAGGCTTACCAAGTATGGAACATGGGGAATTCTGGGAGTGTGAGGCTCTGTCTTCCCACAGTAGAGCTTATCCACATCCAGCAGGACTTAAAGAGCTTTTATTTCTCCTGCTTCATAAGTGTACCTAGCAAGAATGTTCTGAGACTGCTGGGAGAGCCTATCATGTGCTTTTAGTGCTGTCTGATGGCAAGAGATGGACTCACATGGCTTTTTATTATCAAGGTACCATAGCTGATCAGCATGTTTAATTCATTTGGACAAAGCTTTCTGATATAATGCCTTTGCTGAAATGTACTAAGATAGAAATCATGGCTTTGAAATTCACCTTCAAAGTGCTGGGTAGGTTTTAGAAAATATAAAATCTTTTAAGTTAGGCATAAGAAGATTAGTAATAAAAATCCATTCTTGAATTACCAGACATGTTTGTATGCTAACATGAGCCAAGAATTGTGCTAGTCACTGGAAATATGAAGGTAGGTCAGATTTGTCTCTCTCCAGACACTTAGTGGTGGAAGGGTTGGGGGCAGGCACAAGATAAACAAGTAGGGATGAGTGCTATTTGTGTGATTAGGGCATCACGTGCAGGGTACTGAGAGGCAGAAAGGTGCAGGCTGATAATTCCATCTTGGGAAACCACAGCAAAGCCTTCATGAAAAGGTTAAGCATTTCACCTTTGGCTTTAATTTTGTAATTAAAAGCCCTTCTCCCCCCCCCCCCCATGATGGCCACACTTGTCTTATCTATGGCCTCTTAGTAACTACAAGGATGACCACCCTATATATTTATGAGTTTCTGGGCCTTTATTAATTCCCTTCTAGTTCAACAGCTGGCACTAGAACAACAGCATTTGTGTAGGTGACTGTATATATTTTATCATATCTGCAACCCCATGACGGTCCAGTCAGCCCAACTCAGAGCTCTGGACATCTGAAGTCACACAGTGTCCTGCAGCCTTGGCTGCAGGGCTCCCTGTGGCCTCCTACAGTTTTCTCACTTCCCATTTTTCAGGTCTGAGGGTACCTCTGCTGGAGGTTCCTGCAGAACTGGCCCAAGTTCCAGCCTCTGAACGCAGCTGCCCAGTGGCCAGGGCAGCCTTCCTTCAGCATTCCTTCCTGATCAAACAGGCCCTCGTCTCAGGTCCAGGAGACTGATGGCTATCACTAGGAACCCTCTTGCATTGCCACTAACTGCAGACGCCCCACTTGCCCTGCACCTACTGCCAATGCACCTGGGAAACAGCCCAAGTACCACTTTGACTGCGGGATCCTCTCTTCCAACCTAAAGAATACTCTTAAATGAGGCAGTAAGCCTGACCGAGTGTTCCCACAGGTGGTGGAAAATCAGCAGCTGTTTGGTGCTCTCAAGGCCTTGCTGGAGGACTTCCGCTTAGAATTGCGGGAAGACGAGCGTGCCCGGTTGCATCTGCAGCAGCAATATGCCAGCGACAAGGCGGCCTGGGATGTGGAGTGGGCTGTGCTCAAGTGCCGCCTGGAACAGGTACCAACCACCAGTCTCCTGTGCTTCCAACCACAGTGTCCCTACTGTGTGGGATAGGTGGGAAGGAGGCACAGTTAGGTTCAGATCCATGGGCCCATCATCCAGGAGAAAGGACAGGAGCGACTTGTGTCTTCTTAAAGTGCCCATCCTTTCCAGAGCCTCCTTTTCTCTGATATTCCCTCCCCTAAGTATGAAATACAGCCTCCACCATGCAGTGTATTGAAAGTAGCATTTTATCTTCCCAATCTACATTAAACAAGGTTGTGCTTACTTCCATCAAAGGATGGCCAACATGAAGCTGTCATCAGACAGAGCTGACATAATTTTAGACAGGAGCAAAACAAAAGCAGATGGTAGTTCAGTTGTCTTTGAAAAAAGGCAAATGCATGCTTTCTTTTAGATTTTTCAAAATACTGAAAATAACTTGTAGACCCTTCACTGCATGTCCAAGAAGTCCAATCAATTTGTCTCCTTATTTACACCAAAGGAAACTGAAACCCAGAAGCAGCAGCCCGTCTCAGATCACAGAGCCATATAGTGCTAGGCAGGAAGAAAGCCCAGGTTTCCTGCTTCCAAAGCACACAACAGAGTGAAGCCTCCTCTGAGGTCTTACACTGCAACCATAGGAGTTAGGATCAGACATAACTAGAAACAGCCTTTTCTAAGTGTTCCTTTCTTGGAAGTCCTTTAAAGTAACAGGACTTCCTACACGGTGTCAGTTGTTGAGACTGTCTCTCAAGGTTTTTTCCAGCTCCTTGATCATGAGGAGGGAGGGAAGGTCTATGTATCTTTGACATTCTATTTTTTAGGCTCTATTTTGAAGCAAACCATAAAGTAATTAAATTTTTATAAGAATTGGCCTGGTCATGAAAGAAAATGCCCAAAAAGGAGACCACTTTCAAATGGCCTCGATAAAAGATGAAAGGGCTTGCCAAGTCAAAAGAAAACAGCTCTCCTGGTACCCACAAGTTCCCCTGCACTGCCTTCTGGTTCCATCTAGCAGTGGTATTAGGCTGATAGCCTTGGGTGGAGCAAGGACACAGCCTTCCAGGCCAGGCCCATCAAATGAGGGAGTAGCTGACCTGATTATGAGTCTTGCCCACTGCCTGGTGAGGGAGTTGTACTAGATGCTCTGTTCATCTTAGTACCAGCCTGCAGAGTCAGCAGTGAAGGAGAAATGAGTAAGGACTCTTTCTGATGAGTTGCCTTTAAACCTCTTTTAAAATATGTTTATGGGGGAGGGGGGGAAGCTAAATATTTTCAAAGCTATAAACTGTAGCTAAAGAAAGGCCCTGTAAGCTTTGAGGCAAACCAGTTTTAAAATGTTTCATCTTTGTTTTAGAGGAACATAATATCCACCCACAGGTTTGCTACAAGTAAAGCCTCAAGAAGAATCACTAAATAACAACAAAAACAGATGATAATAGGTAAAGAGTTTATCTTCTGTCCAAATTGTTTAGGAAGTTTCTTAAACATTTGCAGCCCAGGAAGCAATGGATGTGGGCTGATGCTAGAGCATTTGTAACAGCCCTATATTTACCTTCTTCTACTTAAATACAAACAGTTTAATTCTACTAAGACTTAAATACTTTCTCTCAGTGGAGCCCATGTTATGTCAATTACTGGGCGTGGTTGCAGGTACCTGTAGTCCCAGCTGCTTGGAAGGCTGAGGATCACCTGAGCCCAGGAGGTCAAAGTGATGGTGAGCCTTGATTGTGCCACTGCACTCCAGCCTGGATAACAGAGTAAGACCTATCCCCCAAAAGAACCTTTCAGTTTAATGGTACATACCACTCAGCAACCCAACACAAACAGACGGCTTTCTGAATAGTACTGGCTGGTTTAAGCCTTTCAGAAACTGCTTTCAAAAAAGTTAAAGAATCTGTTTAGACATAGATAGTCAATTATGAATAATTATCATGGGTCTTTGAATAATTCATTTTAAGAAAGTTAATTGAACTCTAGATATGAGTCAATGAAAAGAAGTCAGTATGATTTGCTGGGTGTTACTGGTGACATTAATATATACTTAAGGGTAGTTAAAGGAAACCCACCTAGTCCCTAGTCCCAAATGTTACTAGTTGACCATGTCATTAGGCAAGCCCCTTAAACACTGAGCTGCCTTTCTTATTGGGATAAGGATATCTGTACATAATGGATTGCTGTAGAGACCAAATGGGGTAAAATATGTGAAAATCCTTTCTTTGAAAACTATCAAAACACAAAATTTGTAATTTCTGCACTTAATATAACAGGTTCCTTATCAGGA